TCCTTCATGGCCAAGAGGCTTCTCTTTGAAATATAACCACCACATTAGGGAAGGGAGGAAACACGGCAATATCAATAGGGAACGTAAGTCTTAGTGTGACTCAAATAGCACACAGCAAGTAGTTTAACTGCAGTGCCTTTCTCTGGGGTTTAAAATGATGGATGTGATGAGGAGGAATGGGAATATCAGAGGAGGCTGTCCGGGTGAGGGCCTGAGGTGGCTGGCTCAGCCACTGTTTTATCCTAGGCAGGGTGTCACCTCTGTGCCAAACCAATTGTGTATGGTGTTTCCAGACTGAGCCTGGGAGGCCATGTGGCCCTGCTACTGAGCTTAATCTCCTTATTGGGCTCTGGCACCAAATCTGGGGACCTCTGGGAGCCACCAAAGGGGATTTGTAAAGACATCAGTTCAGCTGTCCCTGGAAGGCTTATGAGGGAAGGGAAGGTAGGCAGTAGACCATCCTGTGATGTAGGCAAGGTGAAATAGTTCAGGACTGTGTTCTCTGGGGACAGTAGAGCTGTGTCTGAGAGGGCCTGGCCTGGAACCTCTGAGAGCCTGAGTGCAATGAATCAACCTGTGTACTCCACCTTTCTACTACAACAGGAAGAAGCCACATGTGGAACTTTGGCAAGAGCTCTGTGGACACTATTTGTAAAATAAAAATAGAATATAAAATGCCCAAACTGTGAAAATAAAAACTAAGCAAAGTTAATCAACAGAGCAGAAGACTAGAAAATAAAAAATAATGGCAAGAACATATAGGAAACAAAGATTAAAATAAGAGGGAGGTAAACAAACATCAATTATAACAAATATGAATGGATTAAACTCTGCTATTCAAGGGCAAAGACTCTCAGATTGTGCCTCTCTCAAATAGGACACGGAAAGATTAAAAGTACAGCAATGAACAGATAAATACATCCCAGGCAAATGCAAGCAAAAAAGGAGACTCGGTGGCAATGTGAATATTAATACAGAATCCAAGGCTAAAGGTATCAAAGTTGAAAGAGCAGGTGGAGCATATATCTGGGATGCTGAGGTGAGATCAGGTGAGCATTTCAGTAGCACTGGGGGAGGGTGCAGGTCCTTACCTAGCACATGACTTCCTTAGGGATCTCTGGGTGGGGCGGCTATTGCTCTTTGTCCTCCCAACTCACGTGTCTCAGGTGGAGACGGGTCAGCATGCGTCATCCTGTTGGCCACAAGGATTATTTTCAGGGATAGATGTGATTCAAGTAGCCCAATCAGATTGAACCCCCAGATTTGGGGGGACTTAATCATAACATGTGCAAAACCAAACTCATGCTTTTTCTAGAAGTACTTTTCCTGGGACCCCCATTCAGTAAATGGTACCAATGAAGGATGTAAAACACAGCCAATCTTTCAACACCTCCCTCCCTCCTCACCATCCAGTCCCCTTGAATCTTACCTAAACCCCACTCAGCTCCCTGGAGCCACCTCTAACTTTCACTGACCTCTCTCTCGTGCAGTGTTTTTCAATTGTTTTTATCTCATGGCACACTTGAACCTATAGTTAAACTTCCGTGGCATGCTTAAATTTTGTTGATCAAAAAAAAAAGTAAAAAAAAATGTATATATATATATACTTACTGTGCTTTGAATTTCTTTTGAAAATAATTAAAAATTTAATCAAAGGTTTTAAAAATGTTTGCAGCACACCTAAGAGCCTCTCACGGCACTCCAGTGTGCCACAACACACGGGTTGAAAATCCCTGGTCTAGTCCAAGCTTCCAGCGTCTCTTGTGTGGACTGTTGAAACAGCCTTCTAATGTGTCTCCTTAGGTTTGCACGAGCTTCTCTCCACACTTGTTCTATTCCAGCCCATCCCCCAGGCTGGAGCGGAAGCGATCTTTCTGAAGTGGAATTCTGAGCATGAGGTTCGAGTGTGGTCTTTGGGTCAGGTCTGCCTCTGGTTCCAAAATGTTAAGGTAGAGGAGGGGTCCTGAAACTAGACAGCCCACCAGGCCGGCTTGTTAAAAGACTGATTCTCTGCCTTCATCGCAGAGCTTGTGATTCAGCAGGTGTGGGGGCAGGTGGGGGATTGTGTTGCTAATACCTTCCCGCCATGCTGCGGTGCTTGAGAACCACTGGTGGGCTTATTTTAGTTTACTGGAGGTCTGCACTGGGGTCTGGTCTAAATTCCCAGCAGGCAACAACATGTTGTTCTCACTTTGTTCTTGAATGACATAGTTCTCTGTTTTCAGAGGCAGAAGGCCCAGATCAAACAGGTTTTAGCAATTCTGCGAACCCACTGGTTCATTTGGCAGAAAACTCCACCTGACACTGGCTTCAAGCGCAGCTGGGTCCCAGGGCTCAGACCACGTTGACAGAAGTGAAGCCACCTCCCTCAGCTCACTCTGGGCTGGCCCTGTCCTCAGGCCACCATTGCCCCATGTGGCTCTCAGCATGTGCAGGATCCTGACCTCTCAGCTCAGCAGCTGAGGAGGAGAATTGGCACAGAGACCCCAGTCTAAAGTGGGACCCTGAAGAGAAAACCTTGAGCAAGAGAGAGAACAGGGAAGACGGTGGCCCAAAGAGGGGGACGGCAAGGAAAGGTCGCAGTCTGGGCCACAGATCTGGGTGTGTGGGGAGGGAAAGGAGGCCTTGGGCATTCAAAACACCTGCTACCCCCCACCTCCACCCCTGCTTTAAGGTTCACATTCACTTGAACTTGACACAAAAACAAAAGCTACAGAAAAAAAACCCCACACACGAAAACCTCAACTCCTGGTGCCTGACAGGAGTAATCACAAACGCACCTCGGGAGCAATCGTAGATGTTTAAAAATGGCTGGAATATTAGATACGATGAAGGGAATATTTTATTTTCAATCAGACCTATGGCTGATAAAGAATTATTTAAAAATTTGGTATGTGAAATAAAGGTATGACAGAAAAAACATAACTTTTTTTTTTCAAGATCTGTAATGCAGTATTAAGAGGTGAAGCGTCATGGTGTAGAATACTGAAAATATTTCAGCAAAGGAGATAGGGCAGGATATTCATAAGGTTTGCTTTTGTTTTTTAAGGAGTCATTGCTGAGAGGTTTCTGTTAAAGGAATGTGTGTACGAGTTTGAGGAGTTGAGGGCCTCAAACTTCTGTTTTGCCTGAAGACTGAGTCGCTGAGGTTTCTTGAGTTAGTTTTCCTCAGAGGCCTTTCCGCTCACTCCTGCAAACCGCCTAACTTGGCACAGGTCCAGAGTCACCCTGAATTGCAAGCATGTGAGGCTGACCTATGCCAGGCCACCCCACCTCCCCCCGAGGCCTTGGCTCACACTCTTCCTTCCTGGGGACCTTGACCTGTTCATCTTTCCTTATCTGGGGAGTCACGTCTTGGCAGCACCTGGGCTTAGGCGGAGAGATTAATGCATCTGTGGAAGGCAGGCAAAGTACAGAGACCTACCTAGTCTCCGTCTCCAAAGTAGATACGAGGTGGTGGCCAGTAGAGTGACTCAGGCAGACCCCAAACCCCAGTGGCAAAAAGCCTGATGGGTTGGTGCAGGGAGGGGCTGCAGGTGCTGGACCTGGGAGCCACGGTCACCTGACCCCAATGGAAGCCGGTCAACAAGCATTTATCAGACACCTGCAGGAGGCACTTGCAGGCGCTGGGCTAAGTAGGACCTTTGAGATCAAGGCCACCTGGCTTCTGTGGTGGGTGATGGGAGGGAATGTAATTCCCATCCCCTGGCCCTCCTCCCACGTGGGCTGGAGTCAGTGACTAGCTTCTAGTGAACAGAATGTGGCTTTCAAAGCTCGGGCTATGTGTGTGTGTGTGAGAGAGAGAGAGAGATTCTGTCTGTCTCCCTGTCTCTCTCTGTCCTCACCCCCAAGATTTCCACCTCCCACGGTGTGGGGAGGCCTGAGTCTGTGTTAGTTTCCGCTGAGCTCTAGCAACAACCATCAGAAACTGAATGAGCCTTTGGGTGATTCTGGTCCTGGCCTTGGAGCCTCCCAGCTGAAGCCCCAGATGTCCAGGAGCGGAGACGTGCCATTCCCCCTGAGGGCGAGTCCTGTCTAAACTCTGACCCACAGGAACCGGGAGACACCCAGGACACACGACTGTTACTGTTTTAGCCACTATATTGGGGGTAATTTGTTACAGTGCAATAGACAGACTAATAATATATAAAGTGACAGGTCCTCTGATAGAAAAAGATACACAGCGATTCCAGACAGGAGGGGATCCCCGGTTGGTAGGACAGGAGAGGTGCTAAAGGCACATTCAAGCTGAGTTTTGAGGGCTTGGTGGGGTTTTGATCATTCGGAGGAGCGGCACATGAAAGCACCCAGGAAGGAAGGCACAAATGTTTGAAAGTGCTTGAGGTGGTGGCAGGAAACCAAGCTATGCCAAGGGCTCGGCTCACTCTTCAGGGGACAGAGAGCCAAGGGTGGCCTGCAGCAGGGAATGAACGCAGGGCCTTGTGTGGGAGGATGACCGTCAACTGCCCCGGCCTAGGGAGGGTACTGACTTGGGGCTGCTTTTCTAAAACTGAGAGCAGCTCTAACCCTCTTGCCCAGTTGCCCCGGGCCCCGCAGCACAGAGAGGTGAGCACCAACCAGGATCAGCTCCGCAATCCACAGTCACAGCGTGGAGAGAGGAAGCCAATGGGCTTCTGAGCCTTTGGTTCTCTAACCAACACTCTGGTCTCCATAGCAATCACTGAACTTGGAAAGTTTTCCTTTTAAAAAGACACTCCATAAATTATTCAAGTTTGGGTGCCAATGTAGAATCAGAGAATTGGGTCTCACTGATCAATCAATACTCATGTACCTGCCTGGCCTGTCATCTTCCCAGTGACCAGCTTGAAAGTGAACCCAACTGCTTCTCAACTAAATCAGGGACAAAACTTGTCTCCCCGTAGCCACTGGGGACACAGAAGTCTCAGAGCTGTTCCCCTCCCCTGGGGACTGGGGCAGGGAATCCCCTTTGTCATGGTGGGAAGCCCTGAATATGGGCACGTGGACGCCATGCAGAGCCACTAGAAGGAAGTGTTCTTGGTAGCCGTGGAGGGCGTGTGAGGTCCAGTGTCGCTGGTTTCTTCTTTCCTCTCCTCTGGAATCTCCACCCCGTTTCTCTTGGCAAAAATGCGGTTTATCTCCACAAACGTTCGGCCCTTGGTCTCGGGAATAACCAGGTAGATGTACAAAGCAGTGAGAAGGCAGATTCCGGCAAAGATGATGAAGCTGTAGGCCCCGATGGCCACCTAGACCGAGGGACAAAGGCAGCAGGAGGTGGGGAGAGAAAGACACACAGGGCAGCTCTGGCTGAGGCCTTTGTGAGTCATAAAGGAGTTTCTGGGCAGCCTGGAGGAGTAAAATACTAGAAAAAAATTAATCCCCCCAAGTTTAAAATCTAAAACTTCCTCAGTTTTAGAAAAGTAGCCCCAATATCCCCAATATCAAAGAGGAATCCTTAGCCCTGTGACCACAGGGGTTGAAGGCCTCTAGGCCCTGACGGTGCTGAGTCCACAGAGCTCAAGGTCGTATCACAGCTTAGACACAGGAAGCAGGTGGAGAGATTTGCTCCCTCTCTGGTTCGAGGTCAGTGTTTTAAACCTTTTTTTTTTTTTTAATCTCATGGCACACCTGAACCTATAGTTAAAATTCCGTCACATGCTTAACTTATGTTGATCAAAAAAAAAAAAAAAGTTAAAAAAAAAGAATATACTTACTATATTCTTTGAACTTCATTTGAAAATAATTTAATTAATGATCTTTAAAAGTTTTTGCAGCACACCTAAGATCCTCCAGCCATGGCTCATGGGTTGAAAATTCCTGCTTTAAAGGCCAGGTGCCAGCTCAGCGCCTGTGGCTCAAGCTGCTAAGGTGCCAGCCACATAGACCCGAGCTGGCGGGTTTGAATCCAGCCTGGGGTCGCCAAACAACAATGATGGCTGTAACCAAAAAATAGTGGGGCGTTATGCCGGGTGCCTGTAATCCCAGCTACTTGGGAGGCGGAGGCAGGAGAATTGCTTGAGCCCAACAGTTCGAGGTTGCTGTGAGCTGTGATGCTATGGCACTCTACCTAGGGTGACAGCTTGAGGCTCTGTCTCAAAAAATAAAGAACAAGTGCAGTGGCTCATGGCTGTAATCTCAGTATGTGGGAGGCTGAGGAGGGTGGATTGTCTGAGCTTACAGGTTTGAGACTAGCCTGAGCAAGAGTGAGACCTTAGGGGTTGTGGTGGGCACCTGTAATCCCAGCTACTTGGGAGGCTGAGGCAAGAGGATCACTTGAGCTCAAGAATTTGAGGTTGCTGTGGGCTGTGACAACATGGCACCCTTCCAAGGGTGACAAAGTGATTCTCTGTCTCAAAAAAAAAGAAGGGAAGAAAGAAAATCCCTGCTGTAGCTTGTGGCCTGTTGCCTTTGACCTTGGCAGTCAGAACCCCCAAGGAGCCACCCGGTTCCCCAGGCGCTCCCTTCAGCAAGTGGGAAATAGCGTGTAAAAGGTTTGGTGGCAGCGGCCTCACACGCCCAATGACCTTCAGCGTCTGAGAACTGCCTCCCGCCCCCGTTGACTTCTCAGAGGTTCTTGGCAGAAGGGGGGCTACTGCTGACCCCCGATCCCTCCTACCCCACGGCTGGGGCAGAGGTGGGGAGAGGGGTCCCGGCCCACCTGGATCGATGGGAACACGAAGCCCACGATGAAGTTGGTGAACCAGTGCACTGCCCCGTCCACCACGAATGCGGCGGGCCGGGAGGACTGCAGGAAGATCTCGGTCCTCACCACGGAGGGGACGGGACCTGGAGACAGAGAAGTGGCCAAGAAGTCTGTCTTGGCTTCAGACCTAGACCCCCAGAGCACCTGTACTGGCCTGAACCTGCTGCCCCTGCGGCGGCTGCCGACCGGAAAGGAAGCCCACGCCCATCCACGACACCAGCGCACACTTAGGGCAGAAGCTGAAAAGGCCCAGTGGAATGTGAGCCTGGAATTTAATTTCCATTGCTAAGTTTCTTCAAGGCCCAGGAAGGTTTGTATTATAGAAATGGCGGTGAATGGAAAACTTCTTGGGAGCAGCGAGCGCGAGGAACGAATGTGCCTTTGCGCCACAGGCGCGGGGGTTTCTGAAAGCCCTTCCTCTGTGGCCGGTCACTGTCAAGTTCCAGGCAGTCGACGGGCAGCGGGCTCGGCTGCGCTTGGGGTGCTGCCCTCCGGTGGCGGGTCTGGGAACCGCAGCGCCTGCCGGCCACACCTGTCTTGGCGGGTAAGTCTCCTTCTCAGCCGGTTTTCATTATAGCCCCCTTAGGGCACATTCTCTAAAACGTCCAAAGTCATTCTCTCCCCCCCACCCCGGCCCCACCAATCGGCATCCTGTGAAAATTTACTGCCACGGATATACTGTATATCTGTTTATGTCCGGTATATATATCTGTGGTTTTATGCACGAGAAAGAGTAAGATTCAGCTCCTGCCCCTGACCAGTTTCCTGCTTTGGGTGGGGGGGGTCTGGAGTCTCAGGGGCAGCCCGAGGGGTAGGCCCAGGTGAAGGTACGAAGCCACTGGCACATGGACATTGGGACGATACAAAAGGATTGTAGCAGTTGGGGGGGACCAAAGATGGGGGACAAAGAGGTTCCCCAGGGAGTCTGGCTAGTGTGAGCTGTTTCTCTGCAAAGGCTCATCTCCTTGTTGGGGGTCAGACCAAAGTCTGGGTACCTCTGAGAGCCACCAAAGATTAGTGGGGCACCACCTGGCTGTGACGCTGGTTGGTACCTAGTAAATGTCCCTTGAGTGAATGAACATTAACTGGAATGTGGTCAGGAAAGGCAAAGTGAACTGCACCTTTCAGAATGGGCAGGATCTGTGCAGAAGTGGAGGATTGAGGCCCTCCATTCATTCCACAGGTGCTCATCCAGCATGAGCACGGAGGGACATATCAGGTCCAGGATGGGGGTGGCAGTGGGAGAGCTGTGTGGTACTCACTGGGCCCAATGGAATGTCCTGAGATGTAGGCAAAGACACAGATGACACCAAGGTAAGACAGCTCAGGGACTGTGTTCTGTGGGGAGAGGTAGGACTGTCTGGGGTGAGAAGGCCTGGCCTGGTGCCCCATGTGCAGAGGGGTCCACCTGCAGGCCCACCTTTCTGCCCCAGGAAGGAGCAACATCTGGATTTCTGACACCTACATGGGCCTCAAGGGCTCTGTAGGCAGGAGAAGAAGATGAGAACAAAAATTGCCTTTTTTTTTTTTTGAGACAGAGTCTCACTTTGTCACCCTCAGTAGAGTCCTGTGGTGTCATAGCTCACAGCAACCTCAAACTCTTGGCCTCAAGCAAACCTCTTGCCTCAGCCTCCAAAGTAGCCGGGACTCCACAGCTGGTCAACTCCTAGAACAGCAAACAGGACCTCCCCCGACAGCACAACACCTGGCTATTTTTAGAGGCAGGGTCTCACTCTTGCTCAGGCTGGTCTTGAACCTGTGAGCTCAGGCAATCCACCTGCCTTGGCCTCCCAGAGTTCTAGGATTACAGCCATGAGCCACTGCACCTGGCCTGGCCTGACATGTTTTAATCTCACTGTAATACTCCTCTCAATTTCTTTTTAGCCTCTCCCTTTACTATTTCTTTTCCCAGTTTGTCCTAATCTGGTCTCTAGAATATTTTTAATAGTACAGACTGACATACACCTTGACGCAGGGGAGCAGTTCAAGAGGAGAGCTCTGCCCCACTTTATTACCTGGGGGATTGTTTCAAGGACAAGCTCATTTGCTAGAACATCACACTCCGCCGTCCTCCCTCCAGCCTGACCCTCTCATTTGCCTGGTGTGCTGCGCTTGTTCAGTGGAGGCTGTTTTCCTTTCTATCACACTCAAAGCCGCTGGTCCACAGTCTCCTTTTCCCCTGGCTAGTTTCTTCTTCAGTCCACACCGAACCCTGTGCTTGGATCCTTCTCCTTCTTGAACGGGGTGCCCTTGCCACCCTTAAATCAACACCTGCTCATTACCAGAGGGTGTTTTCTAGCACAGTTGTGCCCTCATATTTACATGCTGAAACATACAATTTATTTTATTATTTTTTTGAGACAGAATATCACTATGTCACCCTCTGTAGAGTCCTGTGGTGTCACAGCTCACACCAACCTCAAACTCTTGGGCTCAAGCGATCCTCTCGCCTCAGCCTCCTGAGTAGCTGGGACTACAGGCACCCACAATAACACCTGGCTATTTTTTGTTGCAGTTGTCATTGTTGTTTAGCTGGCCCGGCCGCGTTCGAACCCTCCAGCCTTGGTGTATGTGGCTGGCGCCATAACCGCTGTGCTATGGGCGCCAAGCCTGAAATATATATTTTAGTGCAAACTGTTCTGTTTCTCCTTTCTTCCACATGGCAGCTGGGCCAGCGTATTTCTCTGTTTGGAGGTGTAGGTGAGCCAAACCCTCCTTGGCCTTCAGAAGCTTCAGAATGGCAGCACTGCAGAATACTTGTCCACATTTGTCCCCTCCCACCCACTGCCAGGGTCGCCCACCCCAGGGATAGGATGTGAGTTCAGACCTGGAAGAGGAGCGCCAGGGTGAGCACCAGGCAGGCGGAGCCGCAGATGCCGTAGCCGACCAGCAGGAGGAGCCGCCGCCCCAGTCGCTCTACCAGGAAAGCCTGGGGGACAGAGTGCGGGCTGTGAAGAGTCTGGAGAGCACCTGGAGTGCTTGGGCTAAGCCTCCACTCCCTCCCATGGGCCCCCTTAGGTATTCCCTTCTTTCCCCTGGGCCTGTGCATGGGATGTAGGCTGCTTACTTTGACCTGTGTTTGGGGCTCTCGCCCTACACGGGGACCTTCCTTGTTCCAGTCATTTGCAGACCTCAGAGATCTAGGCTTCCTACACCCTCTTCCTCCCAACTGGAATAACCACATTCTCTAGTTTCTGAGATGCTTTGACATCTTGGGACCTTGCTGGCCCTGGGGGGACTGCCCCTCCCACGGCTGGCCAACTCCTAGAGACCAAACAGGGGCTCCCCCGACAGCACCTCTTCCTTCGGGAGCGGACCAGTGTGGGCCGCACCTCCCAACACCTGGAGAGGGCTCGCACACTCCACGTACCTGCCCTGCAATCACCTAGGGCCAGGTGCTTCAGAGCCTGCTGAAATTATCTGCTATTTACGCCAGTTAATTCTAAACCTGGCTACCCTGCCTCGCCCCTTCCTTTCCACAGAAACCACAATGAAGGCTCTTGCTCATATTTCCCCCTCGGTTCTTCCACTCCTGACTGGCCCAGAACTTCTTGTGTGGCCCTGTGTGGCCCTGTGTGGTCCTGTTTGGCACGGTAGGCCCCCTCCTCGTGAGCACTGTGAGTAACAAACTATTCATGTCTTTTCAGCAGCAACTGTCTCCTGACCTGTTGGTCTTACCACACCTGCATAATAATGAAACCTACATTTAAAAATAGACCTCTCTAGCTGGGCTCATGTCTGTAATCCCAGAGCTCTGGGAGGCCAAGGCAGGAGGATGGCTTGAGTCCAGGAATTTGAGGTTGCCTCGCTGATGTACGGCACTCTAGCCTGGGTGGACAGAGACTCTGTCTCAAAAACAAAGAAAAAAAATGGACCTCTCCCATTTTCTAGGACTCCAGCGGACACTGAGACCATCTGAAACCTGGCCTCACATCAGAAGGGTCCTATTTGCTCCCTGCCCCTTTTTCCACTTTATGGACGGGCACCTCCACTCAGCCAGCTCCTTCTCCAGCAGTCCCCACTCAGGCCACGTTCCTTCCTTCCTTCTGTTCTTACTTCTGCTTCTACCCGATCCCTGCTGTCCCACTCAGGGCCCTGCACAGTCTCTTGACTCGTGGGTCCTGCCAATCCTCCCAGAAACCCTCAGACAGGGGTTATCACTGCCATTCAGGAGGGCCAGGCAGCAGCAAGATAGGAATCCCAGTATTGTAACAAATATGTCAGAGTGATGAGGTCCATGGCTGCCTGGTGCCCAGATACTGCTCCTCCTGGGAGAGAGAGAGTCTATCTTTCTGGCTTGGGCTTCTCCAGGTAGGCTGATGGGAAAGGAGGTCCTATTGTGACCATTCTTCCTAGAGGAGGAGGATACAGGCTGGATCCTGCCCCAGAGGAGCAAAGGGAGGAGTCCGGGGATCTCGCAGGAGGAAGAAGGGGCTAAGAGTTGGGCTGGGGCCTCTCAGCTCTTCTTTAATCCTCCTGTCATCCTCCCTTGCTGTTGTCCTTCCC